CCCCTCTGTCACGATAGTCTAATGCCCTAGTAGCTCCGCCCCCCCCCCAGAACCATGCTCCCAGCTTCACAGGGCAACCAATGTTTAGCGCATCAGGAGCACATAGCGGTCCCCTGTTCAGGGGTGGGCACAGAGGAACACAGGAGAGCACATGGCATTGGGGGAAGGGGGCACAGTACTCACAAAAAAACATGGATAGCGTCCTCCGGTTGTGCAGTCGGCGCTGGGCACAGGCAGTAGGAGTGGGAAAGACACAATGAGCAACAACAGGCAGAGAGCAGAGCAGGGGGAATAGGAACATTGAGACACTGAGCAGGGAGTGGGCATGGAGGATGGTGGACTTCATTGGAGGGTGAGATGCTGCCCTAACCCTGTCCCCTTGTGAGTAGATTGACCCCAACCTTGAGCTTGCAAAGCTTGGCCGTGAAGAACAAGGGCAGGGGGAACGAGACTGTGTCTTGAGTATAGGGACTTGGTTAAGGAGGGATTGGGAGGGGTCATACCAGTGTCTGGTTGGCAGAAAGCAGGGTAGCACCACTGTTATCACCTCGAATAGGCAACAGGGGCATTGTGCCAAATTTCTGTCGGGCTAGGTCAGAAGAGGAATGCCGCCGAAGGACCACAGGCTGCTGATCATCATGCTGGGCAGGGACATGGGAGATATTAGTGGGTATGAGCCAGCTCACAAGGAGTGTGTGAAGAGTAGTGTGGGGCACACAATCTCACCTCCTCATCTCAGCTTCTTATTTACCTGGGCTTTAAGGATGCTGGTTGTCCAGTCCCACATCTCATCCTCATCTGTGCAGGACAGGTAGCTGAGGAGTGGTCAGAGAGAAAAGGAAAGAGAGAGTGAAAGTGGCTGAACAAAGACATTGAACTGGGGTATGCAGTAGCAGCCAGACATTTTTACCCTCTGTCAGTCTACAGTGAAGAAGGTAATGAATGAAGTAAAAGGAGTCAAAGGGGAAAAGAGATAAGGGAGAGAAAGGGAATGAGGAGAGCGGCACAGGTAGAGCAAGAGGAAAAAAATTGGAAGGAAGCCTTGGAATAAATGATGATACTCACAGCTGCAGCTTCTCCAGGATCAGTGTAAACCCCCATCTAGGAACCAAGGGAGAGCAATGTTGAGGAAAAAGAAGAGGGATGAATTGAGGTGTGAAAACGTATGAATGGGAGAGAAGACAAGGCCTTCAGGTGACTCACGGTGTTGGTGGCTTTAGCTTTCGGCGTATTCCTAGGTAAACTTTTGCACCATCCAAAGACCATTCTCGCTCTGGCTTAGAACTCTGGAGACAAGGTCAGGGAAGTCATTTAGTCCATGAGGAACCAGGATCAGAAAGGTCATGAGGATGACAAAATGATCAGGATCACCTCCTCCCTGCCCAAGGTGACCTTACCAATTCCAAGCCCACAGTCCTATGGTGTCTGGAATTTCAAGGGTAGGTGGGGAAGACTGTAGAATCATCTCAGGGGCGTATGGAGGATCATCTCTGGGATGGGGCTATGGTGATCTGAAGATGACTTATCCCAGAGGTACTCACCCTTTTCTCCTTGAGCAGCAATAGGCAGCGTCCCCGAAGTAGGAAGAACCTTTCCTGAAAACGACTTCCTAGCAACTTGGGGGGGCTCTTCCCGGCACCGAAGCAGGCCCACCCGAGGACTCTCCCGACGCACACCTGGGCATAGATGGGCAAGTGATGGACCAAGGAAACTGGGGAGAGTGGGATAATTCAAGGATAAGTGGTTCAGTGCTCTGTGGATGGACTATACACTCTATGTCTAGTTAGGGAGAGGACACAAGTAGTATTGGGATAAACAAGGGATTAAGGGGGCTGGCCTCACCTGTGAAGAGGCAGCTGGCCTGGGCTAGGGAGACCCTGCGCAGCAACAGGGAAGCAGAGCCTGGTTCAGGGAGCTGGCACCATTGCAGGGCCTGTTCTAGAACCCGTTCCTTTGGGTGCAGGGGCCGCTCTGAAAGGTAAGGCATAGAGATTAGAGGAGCCCATAGCCTGGAATGCATTCCCACCTATGGCCAGTCCTCATCAGAGCCCAACTCACCAAGCTCTCCATGCTCCCGGATCTCAAACATCAGCCACAGGTCTGTGCCAGCTATTGCTCCCCTCATCTCTAGTACCTGATTTGTCAGCTCCTCAGCAGTCAGTGTTGGGGAAACCTGAGGCCAGAGAAAGATAGCAAGAGCCAGGGCTGCAGCTCTCAATCTTCCTCCCATCCTTTTGTTTCCTTTCCAGTCCTTCCAAGACTGACCTTCAGGGTGACACAGTTGTCTGGTAGCTGCTGTTCCAAGTACACTTCCATGATGATGTCTCCAGCTTGTGACAGCTTTGGGGTGGGGTGGGAAGAAATCAGTCAATGGAAGAGTAGAGAAGCAGGTGTGGATAAATGGTCAAGCTCAGAGGCCCCCTCTTGCTGCTTCAGATCACTGGCCATACTTACTCACATTGCTTAGTTTCCTCCTGGCCCTTATACTTGGGACAGGGACAGGGGAATTAGTTGAGTATATCATTTGGAATCCCTTGAAGCCTTTATAGATTGGAGGGTGAGAGTGGGATAGAGATTGAGGTGAGGGATGGGTCAGAGGGTCAAAGGGAAGGAGAGAACTCCACATCTTGAGGTTCTAGGAAAATAGGGAAGGGATCCAGAGGGGAATTTTGGAAGAGTCTCCTGATTTAGCCAGAGAGTCAGAATCTTTTTTTTTTTTGGGTGAGGCAATCAAGGTTAAGTGACTTGCCCAGGGTCACACAACTAATAAGTGTCATGTGTCTGAGGCTGGATTTGAACTCAGGCCCTCCTGCCTCCAAGGCCAGAGCTCTATCCACTGGACCACCCAGCTGCCCCTCAGCATCTTCTCTTGATGCCCCCCAATGCTATAAGTGAGGATCTGGGCCGATTTACCTGCACATCCTTCCAGGTAGTTATGAGACTGACTTCCAGGTCAATCTGAGCCACTTGGTCTGAATCGATCTGTGGGAGAGTAAGAGACACTGGGAAGTGTTGGGGAACTATGGGAGCATAAAGAAACCTAATAGAGAAAGTTTCTGGGTGGTGGAATAATAATAATAATAATAGTTAGCATTTATATAGCACTTCAAGTTTACAAAGTACTTTACAAATGTTATCTCATTTGATCCTCACAGCCACCCTGGGTGGTTCATGCTATTATTATCCCCATTTTATAGCTGAGAAAATTGAGGCAGACAGAGGTTAAGTGACTTGCCCAGAGTCACACAGCTTGTAAGTATCTGTGGCTAGATTTTATCTCAGGTCTTCTTGACTCCAGGTCCAGGGTTCTACCCATTATGCCACCTAGCTCCCTACCTTTCCACCTAGAAGCCCTGAGAAAATCAGAATGTGTTTATTATGAAGGATGAGGAGGGTCAGAGATTAGCAGTTGAGGGTCAGTGGGGTGAGAGTGGTAGAAATGAGGAGACTATCAGAAAAGATGAAATGTACATCCCTAATTTCATTTAAGGGATGGAGAACTACTGGTTAAGAATGTTGTATATATTGTCAGAATTTGGTTTTTCATAACTGCTTCTTTTTTTTTTTTTTGGTCACAATAAAAGGCCATTGGGGTAGGATGGGGGAAAGGAGAAGTATCTGGAAATACCTATGACATAAAAACAAAAAGGCATCAATAAAACATATAAATAGGAAAAGAAACAAGGCCAGAGTGACACAGTCACAACAGCGTGGTCACAAAGGTGAGGTCTTGGGAGGAAGGGTTACAGGCCTCAGGGAGGGAGAAAAGAGATGGCCACTGATGTGGGGCAGTTCAGGCTATTGATATTGAGGGCTGGTGAAGGGGAGAAGGATTGAAAGGCATTGAGACTGAGGATGTGCAATGTCAATGGATTAAAGAGTCACTGGAGTTGGGAAGTCTCTCCTCCTTACATCAAAGACAGATATGTAGTTATCGATGAGTTCCTGCAGCACCCGAACCTCATGCTCCCCTCGCCCATCTGTCTGGAACACACTTGGTGCAAATAACAGGGCCAGGTTCCGAGTACACATCTGGTTCAGACTTGCACATTTCTGCACCCTGGGAGAGAGGCATGAGAGTCCTGGAATGTGACCACTAACATAGTCCAATTGTTAGACTGAAGTCAATGGCAGGAGTCCTTTAAGAGACCATTATGGGCAATGAGTTAAAAACACTGTGAGGTCAGCTTGGGAGATGAAGAAACATTGGGCTACCATAGGTTCCCAAAGTGGGAGATACCACATCCTGGAGGAGTAGTAGCCTCTAGTGCAGTTGGGGGGCGCTGAATAAAAATAAGGGGGTGGTGGAAGCATAAGGAAAAAAGATAAGAGAAGAAAATTTTGAAAAACTGTTTATACATGTTTCATCTGTCATGTAATAGAGTTAAAGTTGTAGGGATTACATTCTTTTTCAAATGAACACACAAAATGCAAGTTATAATGGATTAGTGTTCAAGTCTACAGACAGGTCTTAACAAGCAAGTGTTGGCAGGCAAGCTTGTGGGGCATTGTCAGGAAGTCCAGCAAGAATATATGTGTGTAATGACTTGTTTACAATACAATATTATATGGTTTCATCATTAAAATTTCAATGCAGGAAAAAACCCACAAATTTACAAGTTATTAGAATTTAAGATGTGTCTTTTTAATATTTTATTTTTTTTCAAAATGATGCAAATGTCAAAAAAAACCATTAAAGGGTTAAAGAAAGTAGATTTCTAGGGGGGCGCTGAGTAATTTTTTTTTAAAGGAGGCGATAAGCCAAATAAGTTTGGGAACCTCTGTGCTAGACTGACCGGTAGAGGTGACCAATGAGAGTGGACAGTGTTCTGTGGTTGACCTTGGGCAGGCATCCAATCACCTCCTTGTACCGCTCTAGCCGCTGAGACTTCTGGGGTAACTCTGAAAAGAGGAAGATGAGGTTTGGGGAAAGTAAAAATTGGAAGACAGACTAGGGTTAGAGGCAGGGACTTACATAAGGTAGAGATGGGGTTAGGGGCACTCCAGAGCATAAACTCCTCTACACCAGGGTTCAGATACAACTAAGCATGACTTAGGTTTATCTCTTAGTCATATACTTGGATGACCTCCCCACCCCCACCTCCAGATGGAGAAAGGATTAGTGTGAAGAGGGAGGATCCTGGAAGGGTTTGAATTGCTTGTGGCAAGTTCCTAGGAGGTCTTTGGAGTTACCTGCAGCCTCCCTCCATCTGGGTAACAAACGTGCAGAGGTAACAGGGTCATCCAGCTCCCGGAAGAAGCGTTTGAGTGTGTCCGTTACATCTTCCACAAAGTGCTCTCCTGGCCGGAGCTTCACTGACCGTGCATCCTGCCGGAACTCAGCCAGGAGCCGGAGACTTCGTGCCCGAGCACCCCCCTTCCTATATACACCCTCCAAACGTAGACCTACAGACACGGCCCGTCACAGTTCATTGCACCTTGTTATCCTCCATTATTTTTTCTCACATCTCAAAGTTGCTAGTCTTCATTCTTCAACTATCTTCTATCCTCCTCTACATGCCCAGTACCCACCCTTAATCCTCCATGCCCCTCAGATAGTGCTCTCTTACTCATGGCACTGGATGAAGTTAACAGAGCCTACTTGCCAGGGATGCTTCCCCTCTCAGTTCTATAGAACCACTCCCTGTGCTGTCTCCTTCTCCCCTCTGTCCCTCCTCACCATGCTGAGTGACAAAGCTGATGCAGGCATCCACAATGATGGGAATGTCTCCTCGACTCATCTGCTGCCCTTGCAGCGCTGTGCCCCCCCCCTCCAGCTGCTCCTCCAATGGCAGTGCTCCAGCCAGCAAAGTCTATACGCCCCTCTCCCTGTAGATACAGGGTCCTGAGACCCAAGGAGACTTGGGTCAGAGCCAGATGAAGGGGAACCAGTATAGAATGACGGGTGGTGTGAAGCTACTGAGCCAAGTTGCCAAAGAATTTTAGAATCTAATGGTGGGAAGGGACCTCAGTGCCCATCTATGCTAAGCAAGAGACTCTCTCCACATGATATCCCTAACAAATGGTAATTCAGTGTCTACTGTAATGTAAACTCCAGCAATGAGGAAGTGACTACTTCCTATGACAGGCCAATCCATTTTTGGACAGCTCATTTTTAGACTTGAGTCCTCCGGCTACCAGCAGAGGGCAGGAATACCTCAATCTGATCAGGCTGCAGAGCTGAAGAGGAGGCAGAGTGCACAGAGACAACCAGGCCATGTCATCAGAAGCAAGGCCACAAGATGAGGCCAGAGTGCTGGAGAGGGACAGCCAGTGCTGGGGGTGGGGTGGGCAGGATCAGCTCCTTCAAGGGCTCTTACCTTCCTGTTTCTACCAGGACTAGATGGTCTTTCTTATCAGGGCTGTCGTTTGCAGATACCACACCTAGAAGGGGTAGGGAGAAGAGTGAGGAGAGACCCCTTATGACCTCTAAGTGACCCTCAAAGGAAAGATTAGGGCATTTCCTCTAGTCCCTCCTCCCCTCAATTCCTCCTTCCCTCTCCACCCCGCCCACCCCTAGCTCACTGATCTCCTGCAGTCTTCTCAGGTGCACAGTGTCCTCAGGAGCTGGGGAGCCAGGGCCTGGTGCTGGGCACAGGAATAGGTGGTCACCTCGGAGGAGGCCAAAGGCAGACAGCCAGAGGCCTGGGGTCATTGCAGTCTGAGAAGGGGACCGCAACCGTAAACGGCCTAGCCTCAGCAGGCCAGGGCCCAGGAGCTGGTGACAGCTTAGTGGGGAGAACCACTGCAGGTGAAGAGAAAGTAGAGACATAGACAGAGGAGACACAGAGTAAGACATCAAGTGAAACATGGAGAGATGAGGAAAAAGATCAAAGAGGAAAGATGGGAGAGACAGGGAAGTACAGGGAGAGATGAAGAAAAATCAAAGGAGAGAAAAATCAAAATGGAAAGAAATGGAAACATCAATTAGTTTATCTGGGAATAGAGATAGAGGGGATGTTGTTGTGGAGGTGTTGGTGGGACTTAACCATCTCCTTGGGAATGCCACAGGCCTGGGCTTGAGAGCCCTGGAGATGGGGAAAGGGAATTTGTGAAAGGTAATGGTGTATCATGAAGGGAACTCTCAGCTCTGATTCACCTTGCCCACTGCTCTGGTCCAGGCCTCCAGACTATCAGCTCCATCAGTTCCAAAATATTGGACCCTTTCTCCAGTCAGAATGAGTTCAAAGGAGAATGGGAACCTAGGGGCATAGAGTTGGGGAAATGAAGCAGAGAGAATTACAGAGAAGAAGAAGGATCTATAAGATGGGAGGATAGAAAGAAAAGACTATGAAAGTACTTGGAGGGCTACCTGTCAAGGTCCCCTGGGTCAACTGGTGGGGGGCTTACCCCCAGACACACCACATCCTGAGGCTGGATCAAACTGATTGGCTCTGGACTGGTCTCTGATGAAAACATCTCCAGGGCTGCTCCCAACACACACCACAGCCTAGGGGGTGCTGCAAAAACGGGGGAGGCACCACATATTGGGCAGTATCCTCCATTCTAAACATTTCTTTATAAGCCTTCCCAGTATAGATTCCTCCCCATCAGCATTAAGTGTTCACAAGCCCCAGGCCCCCCTCCAGAACCACTTCTGTTCTTCCCCCAACTCTTCTGCCAAGGTCCCCTTTCTCACCATCCCGGCCCCGGCGGTGGGGTGGAGGTCCAGGTTTGCTGCTGACTGGGCTGCAGTACAAAAAGCCACTTAGTGCAGCAGGCACCAGGACTTCATTGTACACACTAGGGGATGAGTCTGAAGGATGACATTGGAAGGGGTGGGGGGAGAGATTAGGTCAGGAGATCAGCGTAGATGGTGTGAGCCCAAGTTACCTAGCTCCAATCATAATGGGAGCATGTCCCAGATTCTTCAGTTTCCCACCCACCCAATTGAAGTCTGGGATGGAGGGTAGAATGTGAGGTGGGGCTGATGAGGTGTCAAGTCCCATTTACTTGTCCCTCAAGCCCCCTTCTATTCAACTCTGCATGGATGAAGCCTATATAAAACTGACCATTATTTAAACTCCAGATTTTTCTGTAGTAGGGAGGGACCCAAGGGGATTATAAAGGAAGGATCCAGGACTGAGGGAACTTAGAAGAGGTCCTGGGAGGATTTGGGAAGATATGTCAAGGTTAGAGAAAGGCAAGGGGCTTTGACCTAGAGGGCTGGAGGTAGGGTCCCTAGGAAGTCACCAGAAAGGGATTACCTAGGGGGAGGAGATTAGAGAAACTGCCTTCAGAGCACGGTTCCTCATATGAGAAAAGCTGAATCATGGTTTTCAACAAGTTGGGTCCCATCACAGCTGCACACAGTGCCTGGGTGAAGGAGGGGGCAGCCATCAATCCCCTCCCACTGTAGCTATCACCCCCTCCCAAACCCAGAGAGTCTAAGGGACAGCCCCAAACTGCCCTCCTCAAGTTGACCCCTTCCATCCTCCCTACCCCTCCTACCTGCAGCAGCTGACTGTGGTCAGGGTACTGAGGATGGGGTCCCCGAAAGAGGCCAAGCCGGTATTTGCGGGAGATGAAGTCCCCACGGGGGCCAGGGGGAGTATCTGGATGCAGCCCTCCTCCTGGGGGCAGTCCCTTTATCCAGAACCGGTTGGCTCCATCATTGCCCAGGATGAGGAAAAGCTGACAGATGAGAAGGAGATCAAAGGGGCTGTGATGACTGGTTCCAACAGGGGCCCGTTTTCACAGATCTCCAGCTCCCTGGGATACCCCAAATCCTTTTTGGTTTTTTTCAGACACCCTCTCTTGGGCCACCCAACCTCTTCCATTAACCACCTCTGCTTTCAGCTTTTTCGCCATTTGCCTTTACCTGCACGATCTCATTGCTCCAGATGCTTGTGTCTAGTTTCAGACTCTGCACCTTAGATACCCCAGAGCCCCGGGCCCGATGTTGTCCTATAGGAAAGCGGCTGGTTTGAACACTACCAGCCTTGGAGATAGAGCTCCTACTGCCCTCCCCTCCTCAGAGTCATCCCCTTGCTACTTCTGCCTTGCCCTCTCAGTCTTTCTATCCCTAGGCCCAGCATTCCCCACCTGCCCAATGCTTGCAGATGACCACTCCCAGGTTGATTGAGGCCCAGTCAGGACGAGCTGCTCCACAGTCTGCACAGTGTCGGTTTGCTCGGTTGGACCAGATTTTTTCAGCCACCTCATAGTCAGACAGAGTCTCAGTAATGGCCTCCTGCAGTGCAGATGCCCAGACCTGGCGAGTACAGGCTGACTCCGCTGTGAAGCTGGGGGTATATTTGAGCCAGCAGATCAGGACCCACCTTGTACATTCCTACAGATCCATCCTCAGACCCTCCTGCTTCCACTGGCTCCCTGGAGGCAGCTATTAGTAATTTCATCATGAGCTATGCAAAAGGAGTGGATGGCCTTGGAGGTGGTAAGGCTCTCCCTCACTAGAAAGCTTTCAAGTAAAGACTGGATGGTTACCTGTTGGATATGTCTTAGGATGCTTATTCAAATAGGGATTGGACTATATAGTTTTTGAGCCCCCCTCTGATTCTGAGAATCCATAAGCCCCCTTAGACACCCTTCTAACATGATACTGACCCCTCTCACTAATTCCCCTAAGTCTTTTCACCAGGAAGTCCCATTTCTGAGTTATTCAGAAGGGCAAAGACTCCCTGAATTCCAGCTTCTGTACCCCCACCTGAAGGTCCCATCCTAGACTTAAGCCCTGTATCCCCACCTGAAGCATCGATGGGGTGTAAGAAGGTCAAAGCTTCGATTCTTGGTCTCCCGGACACTGCAGCCCCGAAGCTCAATGAAACAAATTCCAATGCCCAGAGAAAAGGACTAAAGAGGTGGAGAGTTGAGGGAGAAGTATCAGAGAGCCATCTAGAGCTCAGGAGCTGGAGGACAGTACCCTCCTTAAGGGCTCCATCCAGCCTGTGCCACCTCAGGTTCCATCCCGTCCCTTATGCTACATCTTTCCCCTTTACCTGCTCACTCTTGTACAGTCCTAGCTCCCCAGGGCTCAGAGCTGCAAACACTTTAGCTTTGTGTCCCCGAAGTTCTAGGATCCCTGTGCGGAGAGGACGGGGTGGATGAGGTGGCCGGGGGTTGCCTAGAAGCCGTTGCTCCTTTAGCCGAGACTGCAGTGTGGAGCACCAGTTGTCCCTCTGAGCTGAAGGCAAATGGGGATGAGTGTTGGAGAAGTTGAATCATAGAGTGAGGAGTATGCAGATAATGCTCAGGAGAACAGTGGAGCTGGGTTTGTGACTGACGTGACCACCCTCTAAGAGAGCACTTTGAAGCAATATGTGGACATCTCCATCTGAGAGTTCCAAGGCACCTCAAATTCAACACGGCCAAAATAGAATCATTGTTTCTTTCTATACTTGTTCCTCCCCCAAATTATCCTGCTTCTGTTGAATGCATCACCACTCTTTCAGTCACCCAGGTTCATAACCTCAACCTCAGACTTATCCCTAACCTCCCCCTCTTCCTCATCACACCCCTGCCCACATACTGTCAGTGGCCACATCTTGTCAATTCTACTATCACCATATCTTTTGTATCTGTGCCCTTTTCTTCATTCAAACTGCCACCACCCTAGTTCAATTCCTTATCTCTTCTGGGGAGGACTATTGCAAAAGTCTCCTTCCTGCTCTCTATTTCTAACCTTTGCAATCCATCCTCCACACAGCTGCCAAGATAATATTTCTCAGGCATAATTCTGATTATGTCACTTCCTAGCTCAAGAATTTCCAGTGGCTTCCTATTGCCTCTAGAATAAAACACAAACTCCTCGTTTTGTCATTTAAAGCCCTTCACAATCTGGTTCCAGACTACCTTTCTGGATTTACTTTGTATTACTCTGCTTTGTATACTCTATGTTCTGTCCAAAGTGTCCTATGTTCTTGTTCCCCTCATTTGACATTTCATCTCCCATCTCCATCCATGCCTTTGCCCAGGCTGTCCTCATGCCTGGAATGCTGTCTCTTCTCCTCTCCCCCTCTGGAAATCCTATCTTCCATCAAGTCTCAGGCCATCTAGTGCATTTCCTGATACCCTTGTTATTGCTGTTTCCTTTCTCATATTATCTTGAATTTACTTATGTTTACATGCCATAATCGGTAGAACATAAGTTCTTTGAAGTCGGAGGCTGTTTTTTGTTTTTGTCTTTATATCATACGTACCTAGCACTGTGATTCGCAGTCTTTTTTTTTTTTTTTTTGGTCAGACCTGTGATTTCATAAAAGTATGGAACTGTTGGTATGGAAATGCTCTCCACAGATGAAAGTCAACAAATCATCTGCAACTTAAAGTCAGAGAATTTCCTGGAGCACTGAGAGGTTCGTCACTTGCTCATGATCACACAGCCTGTCAAAGGCAGGATTTGTACCCAGGTCTTCTTCATGCCAAGGCCAGCCCTCCATGCTACCTCTCACCTTACACATGGTACATCCTTAATAAATGCTTTTTGGATTAAAGAGAATTGGATGGCAGTGGGTCTGCCCGTTTGCCTCCTATCCCACACTGCCCCTCCTCTCACCTTCGCTCTCAGCTCGAAACACAAACACCCTTTGGCTAGTGATGACTTGGAACTTGCAATCCTTGCAGCTTCGGATCATCTCAATGACAGTCAATGGGATAACCCCCTTAGGGAAGGTGTCCTGGGGAGATATCAGCATTGACTCAGAGTCAACAAACTCTAGCAGGTTGGTCTTACCACCCCAGGAAGACCCTATTTCCCCTTAATACCCTCATTTCCTTCCTCTCAGATTTCCTCCCAAATTTCAGGTCCCTTAATAACCTAGCATCCCTCCTTGAGCTTCCTAGCCTCCTTGTACTCCATTCCTACCCTCCACATACATGCAAACCCACCTTGTCACTTCCATAATACATCAGTTTCTTTCCATTGAACCTGACAAAACGCCTCTGAAAGACATAATTCCTGGGGGAAAGGAGGAGGGAGGAATCAGTCTTCCAGGGCCCAGGGTAGGCAACAGGAAGGTACTCTCTGATGAAGTGGAAGGGGGGGGGGTCTCTTAGGGTTAGAGGGATAGACTGCCTCCTTCTCAAGTCATTTTTGTAACACCAACACCCTCCATCCCCTCTTCCTAATTCCTACCTCTCCTCTCTTATGGCTTCCCTCCCCTTCTCACACTCCTCCCTGGTTTTTGTTCTTTCCAAAGTCCCCCATATCACCCCCTTCCACTCACACCCCTGAGGCGAGAGCTTGTCCAACCAGCCACTGAGCAAGGGTGTGGGGGGATCAGCTAGTGAGGTGAAGCTGGCATAGGGAGAGATAAGATCATCGCCTGGCTCTTCAGGGTCTAGGATGGGCATCAAGTGGGTGGAGTTCCCAGGCAGCTCCAGACTGGCATAGCCACAATCCTCTACCCCCTCTGATTCATGGCTGCTTGGCCTAGGGAAAGTAGAGGAGAGGTGTGAACCAGTTAACTCAATTCAGTCCATCTCTTCTCCTCATGACTGCTATATTCCTCCCCTCATTACTTGTTCTAAATCTCCTTTACAATCCTTCTAAATCTCTCCCCAATATTCCTTTCCATGTCTCCTCTATATCTTACCTTTCATGATCCTCCTCAAATCACTTACCTGGGTTCACCTGCTGACTGACTGACACCCCTTGTCTTCCTCCCTTTGGGAGTTCCAGGGACTGAAACAGGCTGAACACCATAGTACAGGCTGCTAGGGTCCATGATATGCACTGGAGTTTGGTGGAATAGAGATGGGGAGACAAGTCAAATAGTAAGATGCCTATAGTGAATCCCCACCTCTAAAAACCCTCCCCTCAACCTCCTCATGGTCCTCTACTGACCTGTGCCTCCTGTAGGTCTGGAAGTAGGGATGGGAGTAGGAGAATCTACCAGGGAGCAGTCTGTAGTCCTGAGGATGGAAGGGAACTTGTAACACAAGGAGGAAGGAGGGAGAGAAGAAAGATAGAATGCTTTGCCTTCTCCCCCTCCCCCTTATTTCTCCCTCCCCTACTGAATCCCAGATCTTCTGGTTCCTTCCTCAGCTGATTGCTAACCCACTCACATTTCCTGAGTCCCTGGTTGTGCTCCCCTTCCAAGGTCTAGGCCAAAGTAGATATCATTGGGCATCATGGTCATCCTGTCCAAGATAGGAGGCTGATCTGAAGGGAAGGAGGGGGAAATGGGAGACTGGGGGGTGCTTAGGGAAGGTTCTTGGCTCACTGGCTGCTCTGAACCCCTGGGGACCATGCTCCCTTCATCTTGGACTATTAGGCTGGTATCTTCTTCCTGAGGCACTGGAAGGGTCTCCATAGGAGGGTTCAACAAGGGAGGCAGGACTGATTCAGCAGGAGTGGTGCCAAAAAAAGTAAACACTGTCCTTGGTTTGGGCACTGGTTTGGTGGGGAGCACTTGAGGATCTGGGTTTGGGGTTTGATCCATGGTAGTGTCCAGTGGGGTGTCTGTAGGGACCTCCACAGTAGCCCCCTGAAGCAGGCGAAGAATCCGTTTGCGATGACCGGTGGCCCAGATGCCCATTCGACGAAGTTCCTCGTGGCCCAGGCTTTGGGCAGCAGTCGCAGTGGACACACCGTGCCTCCGGAACGTATCTGCGTACCGTTCTAGATGTACTCCTGCCAACCAGACCTCAATGTCCAGGTCCCTGGGTGACTCCATGAGAGTTCAGGCCATTGCCTGGAAAAGAATGGGTAGAGGTGGGGATGGTGGACAGGGCTCAAGCTAAGCTTCATATACCCTTCTCAGCTTTGGGGTAGAAGAGACCTAATCCAAATCCCACAAGCCTCCCCCAACCACAATCAGGCAAAGCTATAGGGATGTAGACACAGGGAATGTGGAGACACAGAGCTCACAAATTGTCAAAGCTTGAAGAGACTTTAAAGGGATCTGGCCCAAACGCCTTGTTTTACAAATGAGGAAAGGAAGGCCCAAAGAGATTAAGTGACTTGCCCAAGATCACATATCCAATAGGTGGCAGAGCCAGAGCCAGAACCCACGTTTCTTTAACTCACGGTTCAGTGTTCTTTCCATTACACCACACAGAATCACTGAGAAAGCAGATACCTAGAACCCTAGAAAGCCACTGTGCAGTGAGGAAAGGGACCAAGGTCACAGGAGGGGGCTGGGGTCACTGAGGGCCATGAGATGAGGTAGCTGGTCCAAGAGAAGCAGCCTGGAACCAGGGGAGAGGAAGGTGAAGGGTCAACATAATCAGGGTGGGGTAGAACGGGGAGTGATTAGCCTAGTCTCAATCAGGAGGAGTCAGGAATGGAAGAGACCATTCCCACAGGTCTCTGCAGCTCTAACCCAAAACACTGCTGTCCAGTTTCCAGTTCCTCCTCCCCTTCCACCTATTGTCTCCACTCAGACTTCCTTCCTGTCCCTTCACCAAAGAGCCGCCCCCACATCCTGCCCCAGCCAGGCTGGGCAGAAAACTCGGACATGTCAGGGCTGGGCCAGAGAGAGAAAGAAAGTGGTGGGTGATGGTAGGGTTGACTTTGTCAGTCCCACTACCCTCTTTGCGTAGGAATCCGCAGGGTATCTCCCTCATCCCATTTGGCACATCATAAGACCACACTCAGAATGAAATGAACACTTTCCTTCATGCCTGTCCCCTCTGTGCATTCCTCAGGTTTTATCTCTGTTTTCGTCCCATTCCTATTCCTCCCTTTGTCTCGACTCTATCCTATCCCGCTTTTAGTACCCATGCCATGGGTGACCACCCCTAGTCGAGATTGCTGGACACTGACTCAAGCTCCCCTTCTCCCTTGTGACTCAGTCCCTTGCCTGGCACAAGACTGGAAACCAAGTGGTCAGAGTCGGGGCAAGATTGCCAGTGGGGGGGGGGGGGGGGGGGGGGGAAAAAGAGGGAAGGGAAAGGGCGAGGAGAGGGCAGAGTCCGGTCTTGAGAAAGGAGGGGCGGGTCAACTGTCGGGGGGCGGGAGAGAAGAAGTTGCAGGAGGCGGAGAGGGGCGCCTCGCCCTTGAGATCACGCTTTGAGATCTTGGAAAGGAGGAGCCCATGAAAGAGGGCTAGGGTGGTCATGAACTCTTGAAAGGGAGAGAGAGAGAAAGAGAGAGGGAGAGAGAGATCGGGGGCAAGAGAGTAGAGGCAGCAGGTCCTCACCTCAGTCCGCGGCAATCCGCTCAGTTCATTCACACGACGCGGTTGCAGCCTGCGTCTTGAAGCACCAAGCTCGAGTCCCCAGTGCTTGGGCCCGCCCCAGCCCTCCCACTTGTGTTGTCCCCGCCCCGGCTGGACTCTCCACTCCGCCCTCCGCAGGCGCCACTTGTGCAAGTACTCAAAGGGACAAGAGGTTGCAGAACCGTTACCCAATCCCCGGAGTTTAACTCCCCCCAATCTCACCCCGCCCTGCCGCCTGGGTCCCACTGTGTGACACCCTGGAGAGATAGTAGAAGACTCACAATATCACCACCACCACCACCAAGAAGGTGTAGTTGAAGGGGGCTTCTTTCACCTGACCCAGGTCTCCTTGGGACACCTCAATCTATGGGAGATCTAGATAATAGGAAATGGGGAGCCCAGACGCAGGCCCAGAAAGGTTGTTCTCCCCTTCGCTTGAATTACTGCATTACCTGGGAGGAGGCAGGAGTCAGACGTTCTAGTTCATTGCTTCCATTTCATCACTCCTTCATCACCTCTTCATGGAAACTACCCTGGTGTCATTCCCACCCACTCTCACCCCCGCCCTAGCCATTGGTGCTTCACTAGGGTGGACTGTGGATTGCTGAGCAAACTCTGATGTCCTCTGTAGCTGCAAACAGCGGTTGGGCCCACCTTCTCTGAAAGATGCCCCCTTTGCCCTCTATGCCTCTTATACTCTCATCCCAGAGTGGAAGTCTGATTTTAGGATTAGAGCTCTACAGCTGAAAGAGACTTCTGAAACCATCTAGTCTAATCCCGTTATTTTACAGATGCCAAAACTGAGGTCCAGAAAAATTAAGTGACAGTAAGAATCTGAGTCAGGATTTGAATCCAGGCCCTTTGACTGCAGAACTAGTTCTGTTCCCACTATACTAGGATGAAAAAGGGCTCTTCTTCTCCAGGGTCACTGGATGGAATCCTCATGTTCTCAGTCCCTTTTCTTTCTTGCCTTACTGTGTATGGGATGGGGCTGGGGAGGGCTAATGGTGACTTTTCTAGCTTGTAATGGGAAATGTAAGTTTGTAAGTCACCCAGACAGAGGAACTATGAACTATATAATGGGGAGGCCCTGACTCTGGGGAAGAAGTAGGGAATTTGGGAGCCTCCTTTTAACTGATCATAGAAACCATGCTAACTCCCCTCCTTTGGGGTCCTAGAATTAGAAAACTAAAGTTTGTTGGGGACAGGTCTCCATGTTCACCCTAGTAGAGCTTTCTACCTCAGCATGTACATAACAGAACACAGGGCCACAAGAAGATCAAAGTATCTCAATAGATGGGAACTGGGGCAGCCAGGTGGGTCAGTGGATAGAGCACCAGCCCTGGAGTCAGGAGGACCTGAGTTCAAATCTGGTCTCAGACACATAAAACTCACTAGCTGTGTCACCCCAATTGCCTCACCAAAAAAAATAATTGATGGGAACCTATGGTTATTGCCAGAAACCCTCCTCTTCCTTTCTCCATTCCCCGGTGGAGGTAGAAATAGGAGTGATCTACTTTTTTATAGCTGGGAAGACAGGCACAGAATGGAGGGTGTAGCAAGGTAAGGACAAGGCTTATTTCTGCAGAGTGCTGGGGCCAATGCAGGGGCTTGAAGAGGAGGCCTAGGGGATCAGGTTGGAGCCATGAAGAGGGAACCTCTGCAGTGATGGCAAACCACAGAAGACTTATCAGAGACCTCAACCCCATCTCTATCTCTGTCTGTTTCTGTGTCTGTCTTTTCTATCTCTCTGACTCTGACTCTCTCTCTCTCCCCCTTTTACTTCCTTCTCCACTTGGAAAGCAGTGCTGTTGGAGATGGGAAGAGGAGGGATGTTTGAACCCAAGCTTGACACTGCAAGCTCCATGTGAAGCCTCAAAGACCAAGACTAAAGACTTCTCCTTCACTCACAGCTTCACACACTTAACCCCCACCTCTGCTCTCACCTTTCCTATGCACACAAACTGAGACGCTAATACCAAAAAGGTTCATTGATATGTGGGAATCACACACCAGTCAATATGCAACATAGAAAGGAATGAAGCTATTAAATGCCTTGTCCTCCTCCAACCCAACCCAAATTTCCCCACTTCTCCCAAGGTCAGGGGCAGAGTGTTAGGAAAAAGAGACAGAAAGACTCAAGGTCAGGGCCAGAAAACAAGGCAATGAAAGGGACAAAAGCAGATAGAGCTGCCCAGGCTGAGTTTGGCAAAGTGGTGGAGTAGGTATATTTGTGAGTTTGAGACTGAGGACTGCCTACCCTGACTGAACCAAACCCTATATTCTAGGGTTTTGCCCTAAGAGATAAGGAAAAAACAAAAAACAGAAAAAATCAACACTGCCCTCGTTCAACTTCCCTTAAGCAAGACTTAGTCTGAGATAGATCAGGAATCAAGGATATCTTATCATTCAAGTATTCTCATTCCCTTATCAGCTGAGCAGACCCTCGCTTGTGCCTTTCAGGGTGTTTTGCTAAGGATGGGTTAATGGGCAGAATTGGGCCCTATTTCCTATAATTTCCTATGCTGTGTGTTGGGGGTGGGGGGAAGGTTGGGTATCACTAGAGTGAATACTCCAACCATGGCTCCACCTTGGTTGGAAATCCTGAAGTAGTTACAGTTTAGGGGTTAGAAGGGTTACCTAGGGCTCAGGTCTGTGGGATTGAGCTGCTCCAAATAAAAAAGGTGCTTTAGTTGGGGGCAGATCTCTAAGATTAGCCAGGGACAAAAAACTCAGGTCTGCCGATGGTGGGAAGGGCTGTCAGAAGGAAGCTTGTGGCGGGGGAGGGCTTCTCTTCAGGGTCACTGCCATGACAAAGCTATTCCTCTGACAGGCTACTTTCCTCAGTGTTGCCCTGAGAGCCACCACAGTTAGAAGCTGACTCAATCAGAGTAAAGGGCCCTCAGGAAGTGGGGGCTGGAAGCCAACAAAAGTCAAACCCCAAGCCCAGTCTTTTCTGGCTCCCTCATCCCTGCCTCTCCCAAAGGAAGATGTGGTATCTGGGGGCCAATTGAGCTAATGGCTTTTATAACCAGTCACATATATTTTTCTGAATAAAAGGAGACATTGGCCACAGGGAAAGGGGTCAAGTAATTCCCAGTGACGTGAGAAGGGGTTTTCCTGCTTTCCCAGGTCTCCTGCCCATAGGCATATGCTGTGGGTCCCATGTGACTCTGGCTATTGCTATTACCCTACTCACCTTAGGGGCTGAAAACTAGGATGCTCTATCTACCACCTACTTAAGTATCAAGCTTCTATCACAGGCAGCCATCATACTGTCATCTCATTATATCCTGTCATCTGGATATACCTATTACATCCTATGACCCCATCACACCCTTTTATCTTGTTATATACCCCCAATTATGTCATTTAACTCCTTCACTTAGCTATATCCAAACAGCCTATTACTCCCTTTCATTTAGTTAGAGTCGTGTCATGTCCTTGTGCCTCATCACTCCTATTAGGCTCATCATTGCAGTACTCTTGTTCCCTGTTTGACATCCCCCCCCCCTACCTTTTCCTCCCCCCTCCTCCTTATATATAGTCACTCCATTGCCACAATACTCCTGGTTGCTCCATCATCTCCTTTGGTCTGTACACCAATGCTCTCTTTGTCTCTGTACTGACCCTCCATGGCCTCGTTCTGCCCTTCCATTCCTCATCACTCCCAGTCTTTCTGGCACAAATAGAGACATGTGGAACCATTGCTCCCATTGGTCTTGGTGAGATAAGCAACCAGCAGGGACAAAGTCCTTTGTTGTAGAAGCTTTTGTGGTGGGGAGGGCAACAAGAAACATGGGCTATCCTCTCCCATTCCTTTGCTGGGACTGAGAGCAATTTTCCTCAAGTGCTAAGAATTGTTCCCCAAAGTCCATTGCTTCCTCTCTCTACATCCCCAGTCCTTTCTCACTCACTTTCTCACTTGCTTAACACTGTAGTTGAAGATGCTGCTATCACTGTCCAGGGGCAGCCAGGACTTTTGAACCACAAAATCTCTGTTCTCTCTCTCTCTCTCTCTCTCTGCTTTTTGGTGAGGCAATTGGGGTTAAGTGACTTGCCCATGGTCACACATCTGGTAAGTGTCAAGTGCCTGAGGCCGTATTTGAACTCAGGTCCTCCTGACTCCAAGGCCAGAGCTCTATGCACTGCACCACCTAGCTGCCCCAAAGTCTCTGCTCTTTAGAGGGCTGTGGCAGCCACCTGGGCAAAAGGAAGAGGAGGAACAAATAGCAAAATGAAATGCCATTCCTCTCCCTGGGGTACCCTGGGGAGAGGAAGGGAAGAAGACCCTATGTCCTGGATGGAAGTTTATTCCCTAAGTAAGAAGCAGGCAGGCACTGCCTATTGGAGATCATAGCTGGATGTAGCCCTGGACAGAAGGGCAACATAGCTCCTAGGCAGCTAGGGATAAGTTGTGGTGCCCCTAGAGAAAGGGTCCTTCAGGGATTTTGCTTCTTTGGAAAGAGGATGTAATTCTCTGGACCCTGTTCCACCCAAGGAAAAGGGGCATGTCAGGGCCCTAAGCCCCCTGATAATGGGAATGGAGGGGTGGGGTGTGACGTAGTAAGGCCTAAGCTTCAGGATGATCATTTTGACAGCTGAGTGGAGAATGAACTAGAGTTGGGGGAGAATTGAGGTAAGGAGACCACCACTTTAGTATTGAGGAGGTGAGGTGATAAGAGCCTGCACAGAGTAGGGGCATTGTCAGAGGAGAGAAGGTAGAATCAATAGAATTTGGAAGTATTGGATATGGGGCTGAAAGAGAGTGAGGGGTCCAGGGTGACAACTAGGTTGCAAGCCTGGTTCACTGGGAGAATGGTGGTGCCCTCTTCAATAATAGGAAAATTAAAAAGAGAGGAGGCCTGGAGTGGGAGGGGCAAAGATAATGAGGTCAGTTTTGGACATGTGGATGTGAGCAATGATATTGACAATTAAATTCTCTTTCTTCCCACTTTGCCTATCCTACCTTAAGCCCCTCAAGAGCTGCTAAGTATTTGATCTGATAACTTCCTTAGGCACAGAATCTGCTGAATAGCCTGGGAGGGAGAGTGAAGCCTTGGGGAA